AAAGTTTATATAAACATTTATATAAACACATAGTGAATATCTTGTCTATTTTCAAAATGTAGACTCAACATCATAATTTTGGGTTGTAACCCACAATATAGTGAAATACTAAAATGTACTCCTTTTGTTATAGAAGTTATTTTTTTTCGTAAAAAGCTTCATAAACAAAGGAGTATTGCAAATAATAAATCTTCTTATGATCTTGTGACATAGAGTATGTTTGTTTTGTTAGTTTTTCATTTTAAAACTAATGTATCACAAATATTTGGAGAAATCTAGTCATAACCACATCTTGTGCAAACAATATCTCATATTTTAACATAAAGATGAAACATGCAAATATTTGTATGATAAACATATTTTGGACTTGTATTCCCGCCCCCCCCCCCCTCCTAAAACATGAAAAAGCTTGAAAATGTGTGGTATGAACTCACCTTGAGTGGATTTGTGGGTTGTTTGAAGTTATGATGTGAAGATTTCCAATCCTAAACTCTTGGATAAGGTTGATGAACTTCTTGGAAATGTTATGATCCTAAAGGGTTTTAACACATAATAATATGTGTAAATGGGATGAACTTAACATCATAAAAATGTATAGAATGCTAGGAAATCTCGGAATTACTTACCAAAATACTAAGATTAATGCTTGAAGATTTAAATCCTTGGAGGATTAGGTTTGATGCTTTGAGAGGAAATGAAGTTTACAGCAAGTGCAAACGTGAATGGTGAGGTTTGGAGAAGGTGATTTCGGCCTTAATTTGATGAAAATAAGTGATTAGACTTTTTCTTAGATACTTGATGGACAATACGTTTATTTGTTGGAGGTTTACTTGGGATACTATTATCTTATTGGAATTGGGTGAACTATCCTATCATAAAGTCAAACCTTATCTTCTTAATCCCCTCAAAATCACTCTAGGAAAGACCACCTTGGAGTTTCCACCCATAAAGAGTGTAATTTTGGTCTAGGTATGACTGAAATCCCTTGGTACCCACCCGTACCTGATGATTTCAGCCTTAATGGACCATAAACTAGAGATTTAGGTCTTGTGGTGATCCCATGAATGTGTTTTCGGCCCCATGTAATATAAAGCACAAAGATGGTGGCCTTACAATCGAAAGTTCAAAGTCATGGCATAAATACATGCTTTATGTTAAAACCATCTGATTCTTGTTTGACTTGTATTGAATTTTTAAGGTTTATTTCAACACGGATTTTCAAGTGTATAGTATCTTTGATCATACAGATGGTGCCCTCTTGGTTTTCAATAAATATTATTGTATCAAAGTTACACACACACACACACACATATATATATATATATATATATATATATATATATATATATATATATATATATATATATACTATCTTATAAAAGAAATCTAACTATTTCTAAAAATAGATTGATTATAATAATAATAATATTTTTTTAAGATGTCCAAATGATGAAGCTGATAGTACAAGTAACCATTAATAAAATCATATTAAATTTTAACCACATTTTGAATTCAAAAATTTATCATCAAATCTCCTTATATTTCTTAGCAATTTGATATGGTTCCCTCAAATTCCGGATTCATTCAAATGTTGAACCCTTTTAGATATCCTTAAATTTAGCATGTTGATTCAAATATCCCTCCAATCGCATATACCTCTTTGTTCCCTTCTCTGCTATAAAGTCCACCGTCCAAGAACAAAAAATGACTTCATCTCCCAAATAACACCATAGTTTGATTATTTTATCTTCGACATAACTTTCTTTTGTAATATAACATTTTTGTAGAGGAAACATATCACCGAAAGAATTTACACTCCCCGCTGCTTTGCGCGGGTACACTGCTAGTATATATATATATATATATATATATATATATATATATATATATATATATATATATATATACACACACACTATATTATTAAGCATATTGCCTATTTCTTGAAAATTAAAAGGTATACCTATTATAACATCATGTACAATCATGTTAAGCATTAATTGACCGTAGTTCCTTCTCCCTATATTTAAACGTGGAAACCCCTAATTCATCTACATACCATGTTTTCTATTGCTATATATCTACTCTTAAACTGGGAAACGCAGGTCTGCATTTACAAATGATTATTGCTTCAAAAATTCTACCAGATGATCTCCTCCATCCTTCCCCAATCACATACGGTTGACCTCTCTTCACCATTTGTAATTTTGTATCATTTGTCGCTGCCAACATCACTCTACAACATCACCACCACCAGGTACAGTTACCCTTTCTGGTTCGTAATCACGAGCATTGCGATAACCTACACTATCTCCTCCTTACTCCCTGTTTCCTTTTCGTTTTCTCTTTCTTAAGATGCAAACATGGGTGGATCTCATATCTCATCAATCGTGAAGGATTAAAAGCCTAACAAGTTTAGGTTTTTTTTTCGATCATAACTGTTTTTGGGATTTATACCTATTACTCCATCAAACTTTGGAAAATATTCCCTTTTTGGCTTTAATTCAGATCAAAGAGGCACTATCAAAGAATCAGAACAACAATCTGTGCTTGCTGGTAGGGTTAAAATATATGTATCAAGTAAATTAGTGTATCGGGTACATTAATGCAACACCTTTCACATTTTTTTTGTTAAAAGGAGTTAAATTAAATAAACTTTATTAAATTTCAAAATGAAAGGAAAAAAAATAATTACTTTATGTTTTTTTTTCTTGGATACAAGTTGATCTTTTAGGGG